TTTTTTTAAATAACCCTTTAAAAAACCCTTCTGAACCTGGAGACAGCATAAAAGAGAGCAAGGCCCAGATTTGACCCATAGGCCACAGTTTGGTAACTCTTAAATTAGAGGATATTGCAATTCAGGACATTCAAGGCTGCCCATAATGAGTACTGCCTAAAACATGGAAGGAATATGAAGGGTGCTCGATGCCTAAAGCCAGAAGCCAAGAACATGCTGGCACAAGAGGCTCTAACAGATAGATTGGTTGAGGTACATAAGTAAAATAACCAGGCAAAACAACCCCTGCTCATGCCCCTTTCCTCATCTGAGACCAGATAGCTGAGACAGGAGTAATGTTTTCATGTGGAAACAATGATTGGAACACAGAGATAGGGTATTATTTCTAGGTGCTGGTAACATTCAGTAAAAAAAATAGAGAATACATAATCCAGAAGACCAGCCATAAATGTATCCCAAACAGCATCATCCCATGTTGATATACCATACTCTGAAAACATTATTGAGCACAGCTGTAGCAATTACATTGTCCCTTCAGCATGAGTGAGCTGAGTCAGCAGAGAATGCAGACCAGCTGACAGAGTCTCACACAAAATTGAGCTCACTGTCAGCAATTCAGCTGAACACTAGAGAAATGCAAATTAAAAAGATGAACAAAAAAATTTGCAAAGGAGAGGCCACAGAACAAACAAAAAAGCAGTGTTAAATATAGTTATTATTTCCTTGGAAAGATACAAAAGAAAAGTAGAACCATGTAATGAAAGAACTAGTCCCAGCTACTCGGGAGGCTGAGGCAGGAGAATTGCTTGAAACCGGAAAATGAAAGTTGCAGTGAGCCCGGATTGCTCCACTGCACTCCAGCCTGGTGATGGAGCAAGACTCTGTCTCAAAAAAAAAAAAAAAATTTAAATATTTTTAAATTATATACATATTTGTATACAGCAAATATTTTTAAAGTATATATTTTTAAATAAAAAGAAATTTTTGAAACATTAGAAGGAGTGAATAAGCAACCTGATGTACAAGATTTAGAGATATACATTAAACAGAGAAATTATTCCAGAATTTAGAATGAAGAGATGAAAGGTACAAAAGAAATGTTAAGAGAGAGATGAGTCCAACTGGAAGTTTCATCATCTTTAAAAAGTTCCATAAGAAGAGAATAGAAAGAATGGTGGAAAGGATTTGAACAGAGACATAGGGTATTATTTCTAGGTGCTCGGCACATTCAGGGTTATTATAATACATTCAGAATAATATAATACTTCTATCAGCATTAGTGGGTATAAGAGAACAATGAAGCAGTATCTTCAACGGCCTGAAGAAAAAGAATTTTGTGCCTAGAATTTTGTATCTAGCTAAACTAACTTGCATTTAACATGACAATCAAAGGACATTTTTGGATATGAAAGCACTCAAAATTTGCACTGAAGCTTACCAACATGGATGTACTTCAGAAAGGAAAAAACAAGCTATTCGCCATAGCAGTGATATATAAGCAACATTGTTGGGAAAAATTTTATAAATTTTTTGTTTCCCAAATAAGAAATGAGCAAGAAAAATGTTATTTACTAACAATCTAAGAAGTTACAGGAAAAATAACACCAACATGAGAAGAGGGGAGTGGGAATCTGAGAAAAGTAAAAATATCTTAAGCTTTAAGACTTGGCAAAAAAGGGACTTAGAAACGAGAAACTGATTTTCTAACTGTTTCTAAAATTAATAAGTTTTAAAATTTAAAATAATTAGAAGAACAAACCAGTAGAGGGAAAAATAAAGTATATGTATACACAGACATTAACAGAAGGCATAGGAGGGCTGTAGAACTACTCATGTAGGTCCAAATGCCCTGTCTACTTGTTCCTCTACAGCTTGAGTATTGACTCAATCTAAACCTTTGCTAAAATCTTACATCTCTCTTTCTCCCCACCCATAATCCCAAACAAATTTATACTACAGCATCTATAATCCTTCATTATGTTTGTTGTTTATAAACCAATCTTGCTCATTAGGTATAAATTCTTAAGGACTAGAACAGCCTCCTTCTCATTTCTATATCCCTTCCTATATCACAATTACTCAATGTTTGTTGAATGGATGAAAATAGAGGCAACTTTTACATACTTAAAACAACTAAAGACTGGATTGTACATGACCAAGGTTATAATTTATAATAAATTATTTGTTACAAGAGGTTAAAGACCATGTCTAAGTTACTATTGCACCTCTGATAAGGTCATTCTTGGATCTTTTTGTTAAGTTTAGAAATCAGCTGAAATCAGGATATAGGAGGACATACTAGACAGTATTAAAGTGCCTTCCATCTCCAAAGCTCAAAGTTTAGAGAATAACTTTAAGAGACACGTTGACTGATTGTCCCTGAAATCGTACAACACCTGCAGAAGCTCTATGTCTTCATGGTTTTCAGACCCAGGAGTATTCTCCATCAATATGGCGGACATCACTCGCACATTCATTTTCACCATATCCAATTCACTGTGCAATTTTCCAATCTGTAGAGAGCAACGCAGTCACCAGTCAACAGGACACACAAAGAAGTGGGACACACAAAGAATAACTATCTGTTTCCTGCCCCGATGGGACATTTGCTGGAAGAAAAAATGCTTTTGTAAACTATAATATTTTCAAACTTAAATTTAATTTCATATAAATATACATAGTTATTTTACAAATGTATACGTAGGCACTTTTTAAAAGGACTTGAAATCTCTTGTAATAAACCCCAAAATATGCTTTAGGAATTTTAAAAATGAAGGAAAATAAAAAGATTAAAACTCAATATGGAGAAGCGAGAAGTACTAGGTACCTAGCAGAATAAGGTACCAGAAACCTGGATAAAACGGCAAAAGTTATCCTGCACTTATTGGCAACCAACAAGATAAAAGAAAAACAAATTAAATTTATCTATTTCTGATGGCATTAAAGAAGAAAGAATAAAAAAACACTCTTTTATCCTGTATTAAATTCTAAGAGGAATTATGTGAATTTTTATATAAGAAAAAAAGAACAATAATACAAAGTCTTCAATTATAGTTCCTTTACAGCAGGACAGAAATGAGCTTCATATAATAATTGTTTATCTGTACCTTGGATAAACTGATATACACAAACAAGTAAATGGAATTCAGTTGGCATAATAAATACAAATAATAAGACTACCATTTACTAAACTGTCTGAAATATGTGACAGTCCTACCAGAAGTAACAGGAATTGGCTGATGGACACTAGATCCAGTCCACAATCAAGGCTCCAAAAAAGCTATGAAAGCCACTAGGCAAGCACAGCTCTTACAAAGTTGGGCTTTGGAAGCAGACAGAATCCATGGTATTAATTCTTTCTGGAACTTAACTGTGATAAGTCACATAGTATTACTAAGCCTCAGTCTCTACCTCTGTAAAATGAGTGTACCTACATCTCAACGCTGTTTATCAGAAAAGACAAACTGTATATAAGGTGCTTACAAATCAGGAAAAGACATCAATATATACAGTGATGGCTGTTGTTACCTGTTCTGGGACCAATGTAATAGTCGAGTTCTTCGGAGCAATTACAGAAGAAAGAGCTGGTGCAGTAGGGACAGATGTTGGTGGATTTGATGAGAGTTGAGCAGTCTATGAGTATGAAATATGGTAGTATTATTATGTGAATTAACATAGCCACCCAATGCGAAGTTTTTTCCATTTAGCTAACTTAAGCACTCTCAAACAAAGTCCTATGTACAGGTTATCTTCCCAGAATAAATAATCAACTACACAACCCGTCAGCATTTTGTGAAGCACGCTAAGCAACTGAGATGCCCATAATAAAGAAGGTATTCAGCAAAAGGTGGCTGCTATTAGGATTATCATTTACAATTTAATAAAATGCCCTTGGTTTTTACCAAGGGTCTAAGTGATAAACTGCCATGTGAGATTACTGATGCTTTCTCTTTGGGTTCTTAAAAACAAATGGTAGCTCAATTCGGGTTAAGCCTTTTTAAGCCACAGCTGACAAGGCATCTCCTTCTCCATCAATGACCCTCTCTGGGTCAATGCCTCATCTCCAACCTTAGGTGGAGAGGTAACTCAAGGTTCTAGGCCAGTGCTTCTCAACATTAATGTGCAGAGAAAACACCTGGAAATCTTGTAAAAAAGGAGGTTCTGATTATCTAGGGTGGAGCATGCCAAACAAGCTTTCGGATTATACCCCAAATCACACTTTAACAAAATCCCAAGTTTCCGTTATTCTATGAGTTATTCCGTTATTCTAATATTTATTGCAATATTCTAATATTATACCCCAAATCACACTTTAACAAAATCCCAAGTTTCCGTTATTCTATGAGTTATTCCGTTATTCTAATATTTATTGCAATATTCTAATAAATTCATCTTTTTGCTTAAGCTGGGTAGAGTTAGGGTTGTCTCCTGCAATGAGAAAAGACCCAAGTGATATGCTATTATACTCTCCATGGGCCAAAGAAAGGTCTCCTACCTCCTGTCTTGCTGTTTCAGCCTCTGCTTCTGAGGGAGGAAACTGAACACCTTTTTTAAGCAGGTCGAGGTATACTTCCTTCACTTCACTTACATCCACACCTCCTGGGAAACCCTGTGACCAAGTCTGAATTAAGAGATGAAAAGTTCCAGAGTTAAAACAGCAACAAAATCAAAACACAGTTTTTAAGCTCCCGATAGAAAATGAGAGATCAATAATTATGTACCTCACTCAGAAAGAGAAAGCTATTTTTGAATGCCATGGGCAAAATGCTCATTTTCAAAGGCTAGGAAAATATAAAATATTTTAAATCAGACTTCCATGCCTCAAAATCTTGAAGAAACCCTGGGATATATACTATCAATTGTTTTTTGCTGCTCTGAATCCAAAATTAATAGATTCCAAAACAACATCAGTAGCTCTTTTCCAAGTAACCTTGAACTTGTCAGTTATCTGGAACAGTTTCACTATCTGCAAAATGAACATACACATCACTGTCTTTCCTAGTTGGCATAGATAAAAGAGAAATTGAGAGGAAAGTAGGGAAATGACTACAAATTCTTCAGAAAAAGGGCACCACTCAATGCCAACAAATTATTATTACATAGACACTAAAATAGCAAAAATGCTTTTCTGGCTCAATCCTAGACTTATAAAAGATAAATGAAACAATCAGGAGGTATGCTATTTAATCCCTAAACTAGAAATTTTCCATTCCATGAGGTATACAACAGACTTACCTTAATGAAATTCAAGATTCTATTCTGAATGTCTAATGGCAAGGTGTATCTGGGATTCAGCAGCTTAACTAAATTCTCTTTAACAAATTCCTTCTTCACAATCAGAGACTGGAAACTTGGACCACAGTTCTGCACGCACATGTCAATAAGCTAAATTAGAGAAAAATTAAACATTATATTTATCTGGCAAAACCACCTCCTAAAAATGTTAAGGGAAAAACTGCTAAATGATTTCCACCAGCATCCTAATTAACAAAGATAATTTAGTATATACTAAAATATTTGGAAAAATGTTAGGTTCTGGGGATACGTGGAAGTATAAGCATAATGTAACAGTCTAGAGGACAGACTTTTTGAGGAGTCCCAGCACATCCAGAAAGGCGTTAACAGCAATACAGAATACTAAATGCTGAAGAGAAATGCAGGCCAAACACGAGCTATGCATGGGATAATATCTGTCCCAGTTTACCCGGGGTAGCACAGGTATATTCCCAATGTCCTGTTTATTCCCAAAGATGACACACCGTTTCACTTTCAAAAATGCCCTGGTTTGGATAAATGAGACAGTCACCCTAGCTATAGGCCCTTATAGACAAGAGTAATTATTTAGGGTCAGGTGTTCTTACAAGACTTTTGGAAAAGGCTGATTGGAAGCTGGGCTTTGCAAAATGGCTAAGAACAGTAAAAATGAGTATAGAGCTATATTCTAGACAGAGTAATGGTATGAAAAATATATAAATGTGGGAAAGTGTGTAGATTACGAAGAGGGAGATAAGTACTCTGGTCTTTCTCTAGTAGAGGTATCTTGATATAGGTAAATTGGGGACACTGGAAAGATAGCGTGGATAAAGTCCACCCAGACTGTAGAGAAGTTTGTGTGGCAGTGCAAAGAGTGTGGACATTATGTTGAAGGCATAAGAAGGTATGGAGGGTCTCTATTAGTTTGTCACCATCAAATCTTTAACCTGAACTTGAGGAAAAGCTTAATGTGTGCAAAGTGATATGCTGGATAGGTTGTCAGGCAGCACTCTGCAAAGGCAACTGGAGGGAGAAGAAACCTGAAATAATAAAAAGATCCAGTAGCAACCCACTAGTACAGACATAATAAAGAAAAGGCCTAAACTAAGATGATGTGGGTACAAGAAAAGAAGTCATGACAGAATTATGAAGAAAGAACTTTGAATGACAGTGCTTGTCAAAAAAGGAAGATGACTGAAAGTTAAGTGATTCTGATTCTATGAGATTGAGGACCCCTGTGATGGAAAATTGGAAGAGGTGGTGGTATGACTGATCTAGGGGTGAAAATGATGGATTGAAATTTAGATATTTTGAGTTTAAAAGATAAGGGACATTTAAGTGGATGTTTGTTTAGCAGTGAGCCGGACACACCCAGCTACAGTTCAAGAGAGTGAAAAGTCATCAAGGCTGTCTTGATGAGCAGAGAGGAGGAATGGCTGGAACACGGTGGTTCACCTACTAACGGACCAAAGCAAATCCAAGGAAGGCAATCAAAGAGTAACTGACAGAAAATGAAGCACAAAATCAGGAGTACTTAAGGCATTCCTTTGGTAAAGTCAAAAGAAAAGTTTCCTGGAGGATGGGGTGCTACACAGTTAAGGATATGAACTGAAAAACATCAGCTCCCTTGAAAAATACATTTTCAATAAAGCAACATGAACAGAAACGACTAAGAAAGAATGAGCCGATACTGAAGAACTGCATGCAGAAAGTAGATTTCTAAAAGTAATCTAAAAGCAAAATTAAATCGCTAGTTTCCATGCTACCACCTCAAATTAGAAAGGTCATAGAAACCATAACATGACCAGGATAATCATCTTTGCATAATAGAAGCCCTAAAAATGGATTTCATGCCATGCTTTGTATTTTCAGTCTCTCTTTAATGGCAATACACAAAGCAGCAGCAGGTATAAAAGCTATAGTTTTAAGGCAACGTGACCAAGGAAGCAATCAGATAATAGAGAAGCTGAGCACAAGCAGCTGTATGACACACAGGGAAAACTTTGAAAGCAAAGGAAAATAAAAACAAACTCCAAAACATATTAAGATGAACCTATACTGATACAGGTTGGTGAGATAGAGTTAGAAAGTTGAATAACATGCTATTTAGCTTGATGGATGATTATAATGAGCTTTTAATGGGTGAAATGCTGAAAGGAAAAGTGCCTCTAGCTCAGTGTGAGTTTATAGAAATACTTCACCTAATTAGTTGTGCAGTCTTAGGCAAATACCTAGCCTCCAAGTCTCACTCTCCCTAGGTGTATTTCTTGCTAAATAATTAGCAAACCATTTTTTTTTTTTTTTTGAGACAGGGTCTCACTCTGTCACCTAGGCTAGAGTGCAGTGGTGCCATCTGAGCTTACTGCACTGGGGTCAGGTGATTCTCACGCCACAGCCTCCCGAGTAGTCAGGATTACAGGTGTGTACCACCATGCCCAGCTAATTTTTGTATTTTTAGTAGAGATGGGTTTCACCATGTTGACCAAGCTGGTCTTGAACTCCTAGCCTCAAGTGATCTGCCTGCCCCAGCCTCCTAAAGCGCTGGGATTACAGGCATGAGCCACCAAGCCTGGCCCTCACAAATTAATTTTTATCTTTGGTGCAACAAGATTTTATGATAATGGGTAACACTCCCAGGAGGTACATGCACAAAATCAAAGAGTCACGATGAAATGCTGAAAATGTGAACATCTGGAGATCAGCAATTATGCCTTTTGTGTTTTCCCATTAGAATCAAGAATGTCAGGACTAATTACTTGTACATAATCTCCTCTATTATGTCACCAGGACCTCTTTCACCCTGCAACTCACTCAGATAAGTAATAAAACCTACTGTGGCAAATTGGAAAAATTAAATATGTTGTTTTCACATATTCTGAAATTGGATTTTGGTGCAAATGTATTCAGAAAACCTATCTTTGGAAATAAGACAAATAAGAATCCATAATCTGTGGTGGGACTGAAAACCCAGGAGCCAAGGAACCAAGAGAAACTAAAGTCTCTTCACTGATCTCGTCAGCTTGGCTGGACAAATAATTTATCCTAAGCCTCAGTGTCCTTGTCTGCAAAATGGACATAATCTCTCCCTCTAGAGACTTGTTGTAAGGCCCAAATGAAACATAACAAAGAGCCTGCCACAAAGCAGGACCTCAATACGTGGCAACTATTTAGATCATCTTCCATGGAGAATTTCCTAGTAGGAGTGAATGTGATGATTAAGTGATGTAAGCATTTTCAGAGAGGGCTGGAAGAAAAAGAGGTAGTTGACAGTTTTCTTACTGTAAATTTCCAAACAACCCGGGCAGAGTGACGACAACCAGGTTTCTGGGACATGAATAGTGCCTACACCCAGGATGGAATGCAGTGGCACAAGCTAGGCTGACTGCAACCTTCGCCTTCTGGGTTCAAGCAATTTTCCTGGGATTACAGGAGCCTACCGCCATGCCCAGCTAATATTTTTCTATTTTCAGTAGAGACGGGGTTTCATATGTTGCTCAGGCTGGTCTCAAATGCCCGACCTCAAGTGATCCACCCGCCTCAGCCTCCCAAAGTGCTAGGATTACAGGCGTAAGTTGTTTCGTTGGTAAATTTGCCAAAGGAGAATAAACCAAGCTTTTTCTTCATTATTATTTTCATCCACATTTTACACCTCTTATAAAACCCCTGAAGTTCACTGCTTAGGGAGTGCTCCACAGAGGCCTATTAACTAATTGATTCTCAGGAACCTGTTCAACCACTTTCCATTTGACAATAATAGTAGCCTCTTGCTGAGATTTATCACAATTGACTCATTCAAAAACAGATTACTCTCTGGCTCAGAGTAATAAAGCCTGGAACAAAATTCTGCTGAAATACAAAACAAACTGCTCTACTGACCGATGGTAGGAAATCATAGTACAGTCAGATTCCATCAAAGGCCTAATCAAGGCTAACACATCCATGGAGAACTCAACATGACAGATAAAGAATATTTATAATTGAATTTGACAGGCTCTCATCACTTTAATAAAATAGAAATGTCATATATGAGGATTACTTTTTAGAGAGTTTGCTGGTAAACTTGTAATTGCTTTTGACAGACATAGGCAACTCCTTCTGTGACTAATTTCCCTCATAATTAAATTTGGCTTACGTGACTATTAAAGTCAGTCCTGAGGCTTTAAGCACACCTCTATAATGCAGTGAGTGGTCTGAGGTGAGGTGACTGGGACATTAAATATACAACTTCAGGAAATCAGTATGAAAATATGAAGAGTCAAAGGCCTATTTAAAGAAAATCCTATTTAAAGGAAAAGCCAAGTGTTTTTCCCAACTTCAGTGCACTGTGATCCCACTGTGTTTTCTGACCTCTGACTTGTGACTCTTGCCTGTTCTTAGGCACAGGCTTTAGACTCTTTTGTTCTCACATACTGGACAGAAACCATGAGGTAAGGGAGCTAAAGATCTGAGGTGGAACAGATAATGGGAACAGGAAGCTAGTTGGTAATCAGGCTTGAGAGATTAGACTATGTGATGAGAAGGAAGAGCAACAGCGGAAGCCCAAAGAGAAACAAGGCCAGAGGCACAACACTCTGGAATAACCCAACTTCCCCAAGGAGGGTCCCTGGTCCATTGTGATAGGGAAGGAACCATGATGGAAGAAGACAATGGAGGTAGGATTAAGAAGCAACCACAGAAACATCAAGCAGGCTGGGCAAAATAGAGAAAGCGGCAAACTGTTATAAATAGTGAATACCTATAAAAAGCAAAACAGTAATACCCCATGCTGAAATAGAGAAGGGGGCATAAATTCATCTTCTACCCTTCTCTTCCTTACTAAATCTCCTAACCTTTGGGATCCTTGAGATATGCTAGATGAGGGCACATCTACCCATCTCTCTACTCTGGTTCTACAGTACCTTCCATTAACCCTTGAGTCTTCTGTTTAGCTGTGTGTATGGGGGTGGGGTCCATTAATCTAGTCAACACCTGCTATAGCTGGCCCTGTACTACACAGGAAGAAACTAAACAAACAAAGGAAACACAGTAGCCTGCTCTTTTAAGAGGCTTGATTTTTTCTAAGAAACAAAGTGGTATGAGGCAATGGCATGGAATTTAGAATCTGAGGACTAGGATCAAATCTTGCCTATGCTATGTAATAGCCATTTTCATCTTGGAAATAAATCAGTTTCTCTTAGTCTCAATTTCTTCGTCTGTGAAATGGAGTTAATAATACAACTACTTCACAGGGTTGTCGAGAGCATCGGTCAGGTGCCAGGCATTTCTATCAGTGACCCATTGTTCTGGGATTTTTACAGAAGTGCTGCACTCCTCTCTCCACAGTCTCCTCCATTCTGTGACCTTCAAGAGTTAAGGACAAGTGAGAGGTCAAAAAAAGGTGAAGGAGGAAAATGCCTCTAAAACTATATTCAGATCCCAACGTGACGGGTTTCTTTAATGATCAAATCGTGAAGATTGTTCATTGTATTTCTGCTCATTCAGTGAGCCTATGCAAGATGTGCATTTTCTTCTACATGTAACTAGAAACCAGGAGCTATGCTCACATATGGCCCAGAGTCCTTTTGATAAAGACTCTAATGCATCTAAGGCAGTGTGGTGCTGGCTGATTACTGCGTGACCATGCACAATCTTAGGCTGGGCTGAGATAAACAAAGGCGTGCAGAAGAAATCAGAAAGCCACACAGCTCACTCTCAGGCAGCAGGCAGGGCTTGCAACACATACTAAAGTAAAAAAGAAAACTCACCAGCGTGACTGAAGAGGTCATATGGCCAAGGATGGTGGGAAAATGGGAACACATCAAATAAGAGTCCACACTTAAATCACAGACAATACAACACACAGGAGAATTGCTTAAACCAACATAGAACATTCTCCAAATCATGCCACACAGCAGAACTGGGTTGGAATTTAATGAGTCGAGAGCATCTCAGGATTCCACAAAGCTGTTCAAGTGAGGTAGAAGGCTAACGGGGAGGTATTTTTCAATATTTTGATTCTCCTCATCTTCACTTACAGTTAATTAATACATGCACAAACTTTTTTTTTTTTTTTTTGAGAGGGAGTCTTGCTCTGTTGCTCAGGCTGGAGTGCAGTGTGCAGCCTCAGCATCCCAGGTTCAAGCAAGTCTCCTGTCTCAGCCTCCTGAGTAGCTGGGACTATAGGCATGCCACCACACCCAGCTAATTTTAGTGTTTTTAATAGAGATGGCCTGTGATCAGGCTGGTCTTGAACTCCTGACCTCAGGTGATCCACCTGTCTCGGCCTCCCAAAGTGCTGGGATTACAAGTGTGAGCCACCGTGCCCAGCCATAAACTTTTTTTTTAAGAGTTGAGGTTTCTCTTTGTCACTCAGGCTGACTTGCAGTGGCATGATCATAGCTCATTGCCATCTTGAATTCCTGGGCTCAAGTGATTGCCCCGCCTCAGCCTCCTAAGTGGCTGGCAATACAGATGCAGGCCACCATACCTGACTAATTTTTAAATATTTTGTAGAGATGGGGTCTCACCATCTTACCCAGGCTGTTCTCAAACTCCTGGGCTCAAGCAAGCCTCCCACCTCCCAAAGTGCTGGGATTATAGGCGTGAGCCACCACACCCAGCCAATACACAAACTTCTTGATCAGTTCACCATGCATAATACATGTTAACCACAAACTTCCTATCTCCTGACCAAGAAAAATTTATTTTTCAGGAACCAGCTGTTTTCATGAAATTAAATGCTATTAGAAACAACTAAACTTTCTTTGTTCTGCAATTCTCATAAATTAAAAGTTTTAACTCATACTGTACACAACTCTTAGCTAACCTATTAGTTTTCTCAGAATACTTGCTTTTCTTATTTTTTACCCAGGATAAAAAATGTAACTACTGCTTGAGAAATCCTAGAGTTTTAATTATAAAATTAAAGTACTTACTGACAAGGTAAGTTGAATTTCTTTATGATTGTAGTTTTTGGAAATCCTTTTCTTCAAGGCTTTCACTGCATCTTTTGGCCTATGGCAACAAATACACTGAAATCACCAATTTAGGCAAGAAAACAAGAAGTTTTCTGCTGAAAACAAGAAGTCTCTCTAAAAAGCAACATGCATTTGGAGAGAGGAATGGCTAAGGAGCAGAAAACCAATGCCTTGGTTCTACTGTGGGACCCTAATCCAATGACTTAACTTCTCGAAACTAAATTTCTTCATGCATACAGGCAGACAATACCACCAACCCCCTTGTACATAAAATATTTTTGTACAAGACTATTACCTATAAAGTACTACCCATGAAATGTGCTCAATCCTGTATCCTTCTATCAATGCACAGAACCAATTTATAGGAAATGCAACTTCTGAAACAATGAAAGCTACCATTTTCATTAAAACAATTAGTATTTCCTGAGCACCTCATCGACAAGGGGATATAAGAGGAATTACAACAAACTAGGTCAGCTGCCAATTCGCCACAATTTTATGTTATAAAGAAAGAACTGTTTAGAAGGGTCCAGATGTACGATGTACTTTAAGATTCTCTTTTTGTATCATCAATGAATTGGTAAACATGGTAAACTGGATTATAGGGAAAAAGCCATAAACACTTAAAAATGCTAACCATAAGCACTTTTCATTTATTTATGATCAATAAGTAAATCTCTTTTACTGTCAGTTATCATTTTAATATGTACTGGAATATTACCAGAATTGTATTCCTTATAATTACCTTGTAATTGACTAAATACAAACCAGTTTGCTCTTCTTATGACTTTTTCCTTATGACTTCAATTCTCCAAAGTTTAAGAAGTAGAACAAAAGATAGCACATGCTATAAGAATACAGCTTAAACATGGGTGAGTTGACATTTAGAAGGAAAAAAAAACTGTCCTGTGACAGGGAGGAAAAAAGACTGCGAGATTGTTTCCTGATTACTAAAGACAACTGCCCAAAAATAGTTTACCACCAGGAGTCAACCAGCTTCTTGATAATATCTGACACTTTCATCAAATACTGACAATGGAAGCTGGAGATATTCCTAAAGAAGGAAACAGTCTCTTTTTTTCAATCTTTTAAACAGAAGGAATTTGAGTTTCACACTGACAAAATTTGAAACTCTTAAAGAAACTGCCAAGAGGAGAAAAATTATAGTGGATTTATGGATACTCCCTCCATATGTTGAAGCAAGCAGCTGCCCCAATATTTCAACCTGACAAGTCTTCAAAAGGTAGAGGGCGCCTAATGGATGATGAAAACATTCTTGCAACAAGAAAACTGAAACATTTGCAAGAGAAAATGTGCTGTAGTTCTGATGCTTCTTATCAGAGGCAAATACATGGAAAATAGGCTGTACTCACCCATCCTGCGTGGTGTTAATTATGTCACAGATGTTCATGAACTGGCCCCAATCTTCAGTCTGAACTCCAGCAAATGTAGCCTTTTCTGCCAAGAAAAAGCTGTTGAGTCTGAGCTACAACAGAATAAAAAATGTCTGGCATTCTTGAAATAATCTGCCTAGGCTACATTAGTAAGTGCCATTAAGTTTATATTGCCAAAGGGCAACGTGATTTTTTCCGGAACAGCTCTCAGAAACTCTGGAATCAATCAGAACCCAAGTTCAGATCGCTGCTGCAGCAACAATAACGAGTGACCTATTAATAAAGACTGCAAGCATAACACCTGGCCACAGGCCCAGAACAGGCCAGCTAAATCTCTGACTGCCTGGCTTTCAGAGAAAGGGACCTAGGGCTTAGTGAGCAGCTACCTACAAGGTGAACTGCATAGTGCTAAGTATTTTATCGTAGAGATGATGAGATAGAAGTTCAGCAAGGTTAGGAAATTACCAAAGTTATACAGGCAGTATAAAGTAGAACTGGCATTCAAATCTAGGTTGTTTGATCCCACTGTTTGGTTTTTTTAAAAATAATTTATTCTCTGGGGACAGGAGGAAAGAACTTTTAAAGGAGAGAAGTAATCCATTGGTCTTAGGAGCTAAAACATTGGCACAAATCCAAATAAAAGTAATACATTTATTCTCTGATCATCTTAATCTCACGATTTCTAATTTTACCAGTCATTATAACTTCAACCAATACTTGCAAAGACACTGCTTAACCACATAAAAACCTCCATTACATACACTTTTACTATCAGTCTTAATTATTTCAAACTGGCACTGAATAACTATCTGGACTAATAATAATAAGCATCTAAACTAACCACAGCTGGACCAGGCTGACCAGAATGCTTCTACACTTGGAACCCTATAATTAGATAATATGGCATCTTTCCCTCTCCAGACAGCCCCTTTAAGAATACAAGATTACTTATCTGGAAAGGGTAATGGAACACTCACTATGAATGTGCTACCATCTTCCCAAGAGAAAGGACAAGACACCTAAGCATGAAAATACAGGGTTCTGGGGGAAATGGAGAAAAAACAAAAAGGCTAGAGAAGGGGAAGAAAGAATAAGGACTTGTCTGGGGGAACCCCAAAGTTTAGCTTGCTTTCAATCAAGGAAAAGAACCACTTGAATTTGGCTCCGAATAAACAAAGCCGACCAATCTTGTGCTGTTAAGTATCTGTTGTTCAGTCTGCCAGATGTTTCCTCTCCATTCCTCGCTCTTCCTCCCAATCTTCTTATCTTTCTAGAAAACTCCCATTCACCCTTCAAGAGCCACAGCAGAATTCATTTCCCCCTTTTTGTAAGTTTTGTGTGTTTTGCATTTTCTTGCATTGCAAAGGTGCTGCACAAACTGTGCCCATATTCCCTACAAGAAAGTGAGTTACCTCAGGTTTGAGACCACCTCTTACATTGGCCTCACCAGTTCGTGATCCAGGTCCAGGCACATAGCTAAGAGTTAGTCCATGTTTACGGAATTTAAAAATTAAGTAGATGAACTGCTGAAATTTCTTCCGCCTATGATGGGTCTGAACCCATTTCTCCTCAGGGTTCATTCTAATATCCAACAAAGTACAGCCATTAAGGGAAAGCATCTCCTCAATGGTAGCTATTCTGACCATCTTATAAAGATGTGTAAACTGGCCGGGTGTGATGGCTCACGCCTGTAATCCCAGCACTTTGGGAGGCCTAAGTGGGCAGATCAGAAGGTCAGGAGTTCGAGACCAGCCAGGCCAACATAGTGAAACTTGTCTCTACTAAAAATACAAAAATTAGCTGGCATGGTGGCAGGCGCCTGTAATATCAGCTACTCCGGAGGCTGAGGCGGGAGAATTGCTGGAACCTGGGAAGCAGAGGTTGCAGTGAGTCGAGATCGGGCCACTGCACTTTAGCCCGGGAGACAAAAATGAAAAAGAAAAAAAAAAAAAAAAAAAAAAAAAAAATGTGTAAACTAAGGTTATGTTTAAGTGGTGTGCTCAGTGTCACAGCAATTAGTTGAGCTGTGACCTAAATTTTCCAAATCTGGGCCTCTATACTACAACTACTAGGTTCTCAGGATTTCATCACCCCACTTTGCCTGGTATTAATATGCAATCGTGCCTCACCCAGTTCCCAAGGAAGGAATCAGGAAAAAGAGGGAGGAGTGAGCTGGTGCTGGTAAGAGTCCAATCATTGGCTTCTACATACATCATGCACGGTACATCCAGAGGAGAGACAAATCATTTAGGTGGATGCCGGTGTAGTCCCTAGCGGCCTGCTAGACACCTCCGTGACCCTAGATGGCTCCTCTGTTCCCCTCCTCTTCACTCCAATGCCAAGTATCATTGTCTCTGTTTGCCCAGAAAAGCGATCCAGGTTGTGTAAACTTGGCGCTAGAGAAAACTGGTTTGGGGAGACCTGCTCCTCACAGCAAGGTCACATCACTTAGTCTCCTAGAGCCTCCTCTTCTGATCTGTAAAACGGGCATAACAATACCGTGCCCCGGAGAGTGTGCCTTTAGGAAAAACTTTCCCCAGGCCGAGAAGTTTCTGGTGTCTCCTTGTGGAGGCCCAACACTCCATGCCTGACTCCCGCGGTTCACCTGCTTGGTTCCGCTCCCTAGGAGGCATCGAAAGGAAGGTACATTTTTGAGGACTGAGGTGCTAGAGTGAGTTGGCCAAGAAGGAAACAACGAAAGCGGGCCGGGCTGGAAAGCGGGTGCCCTGGGAAAGTTGCGGGGGGAGGGGAGGAATTTTCTCCAAGTTGGACTAACTCGGTCCTCTGCAGGCTGAGAATGGATCAAGCAGGAAAGGATCCCACGGTCCCCCGCCTGCCTGGGCGTCTCTCCCCGCGCCTCCTTACCTATGAGGTGGCCCACGGAGGTCGCGTAGGGATCCCGGTGACTCTTGCCAAACGCCATGGTATCGCCAGAGGGCCGGGTCCAGGAAATCCGCCTCCACAGCTCTCCGGCTCCCGACTCCACCCGCTGGGTACCCTTGGCTCCTCCTCTTCGCCCGAGCGCTTCCCGGGCTCTGGCTGAGGCCGTGCGTCCTGCGCCGCCACTGCGGGGCGCGGGTACTGAGCGTGAGGCGCCGAGCGTGAGGCGCGGGGCGCCGAGCGAGGGGCAGGGACGCGAGGGCGGGGCTTCGGGACGCCCTGCGCACCTGTAGCGCGCCCTGAGGGACCCGCGAGGAGGAGGCGGCGCTGCCAGCTGCAGGTGGTACAGGCGGGCAGCGGCGGGTGTGCAGAGCCTGCGAGTGTGACGCGGCCGCCCGCTCGGATCCCAGGTGGGCTTTTCGCCACGCAAAAGAGGAGCCAGGCAGTCCGGGATCTCCAGCCTGGGAATTAGAGACCCAGGTTCTGATCCCGCCGCTTGCTGGGCAGAGTGCCACTCCTCTGTGCGCCTCTTTGGCTCCCCTTTGTAAACCAAAGATAATAGAAGGTTTATAACACAAATCTGAGAATTGTGAGAATTAAACTGATTCTTGAACGTAAACCGATTAGGTTGGTGTCTGGTCCCCACAAAATAGTTAACCATTGAATAATTTGAATAAGTGGAAGTATTTACCCTCGACCTGCTCCACCCTAGAGATCAGGGCAGGGAGGTGTGCGACCTGCCCTTAAAAGCTGTAGGTGTTGTCTAGGAGGAAAGATAGGCTTCGAATTTAGAGCTTCTCAGGAGGAGGCCCTCTTTGTCTTTCTCCTGTTTCCTCCAGGGACAACAGGACGCCGCCAGACAAGCTCTTGGTTTCTAACCCCACCTCCAGCCTGATTCTAAAAATGGGAGAGGGGCTTTCCTTTTCCTCTGGCAAGGAGTATGTTTGGCTTTAGACCTGCTTTGGAATGTAGGTCCCAGTTTGAGAAGCCCAACACCTTTCCAGCTGCCCTTTCAGAACCAGAATTTATTTCCTATTCCTTTGCATTCAGTTAATATCAGATTAGCGATGTTAGATATCTCCGGCTAGCAGAAGCCTGCCAGAGAGTGAGGTATTCCCAGGCGATGTCAGATAGCCATAGATGAACTCCCTGTGCTTGTAGATCCTGTTTCCTGTAGTCTAACTGGCACTCATTTCAAGTCTGTTTTTAGTCCTGGAGATGGTGACTATGGAGACGAAGGGGACCTGGTTTGACTTATGTCCGTGGTCTTGTGAATTTTGAGATAGAGGTCAAAACCAATTGCCATGCGCTCCAAGGTGCTAACATTTAATTATTTATCTCTAACTCAATTATTTATAATTTTTCTTGACTCAAGTGAGCCAAAACCTGAGATTCTAAAATCTAGAATGAAATATTCTTGTTGTGATGATATTTCTCATAATGGGTTTTGTCCCACCTGTAACTAATATTCTCCACCTGCCTATTCAGGGCAAGTAGCTATTTCAAATAGTGCTGTTTATCAACTTCCTTAGTCATCACTACAGCCTCTGCTGACACATCTCTTTTGTGACATCGCCAATCTAATCTGTATTCCATGCTACAGCCTCTAGCAAAATATTTTGTCTTTTCTGCAACCTACAATCAACCTACGATCTCTGAAAAAGAAAGCCAATTTTAGCTTAGGCCAATGTTGGTGTCAGTGGCCTTCCACCAGACAATGAGAACTAGGAAGGAACCCAGCATCCAAAGAGATAGATATTTTACATACTTTTATGTGGGTTTTCTTCTCCTCCCTCTTCCCTCCTCCCGCCTCCCTTCTCCCTCTTCCTTATTCCTGTGTCTGATTTCCTTACATTACAGGACTCAGGCACTGAGAACAGGAGAAGCAGTAGCAAGGAGTATCTTTTGGACTTGATGCTTGGGTGAACAGAACCAAGGTTGATGAGTACTACCTGCATTCCATCTTAGCAATGCCTGGCAGAAGTTTTTCTCTCTCCCTGTGCCCTCCAGGGTGTTGTGGTGGTTGTTGCAGCTTTCTCTTCCTATACTCTGTTCCTTTCTCCATGATCCCTCTTCTCTCCAGGGGTGAAAATCAATGTGATTAATGTTAGCATAGTCTAGCAGGAGGGACAATAGAATTCACAGCTAAGTTAAGGTCAGAGAAGGAGCAGAATCTCACAAGGGTAAAATGACACCAGGAGTAGAATCTTACCACATTTTCAATTCCATGAACACTTAGTAAACATTTGTTTATTTAAAATGTGCTAAGTGTCTGCAACTAGAAATCTATCTTAATCTTCACATTCCTGGGAGATGGGTAGTATTAACCTCATTTTTCAAATATATAATCTGAGATTCAGAAAGATCAAGCTTATAAAAGACTAAAGTTTGACTCATGACATGGCTGCCTAGTTTTAAAGCCTATAGTATTGTCACTAGGTGAATCCGTTTATTGAAACTGATATCTTACTTTTTTAAAGAATCTGCTTGATTCAGTGCAAGACCTCTTGAAGAATACAGGAATAGGGGAAGTCATATACTCTGCTGCCACAGGGTCATCCTTTTTTTTTGTATTTGTTCAAGAGCGAATATTTTCTGTGCTAGAGCTCCGAGCACTTTGGGAAGCCAAGGCAGGTGGATCCCTTGAGGTCAGAAGTTTGAGATCAGCCTCGCCAACAAGGTGAAACCTTGTCTGTAGTAAAAATGCAAAAATTAGCTGGGTGTTTTTGTGGCCAACTGTAATCCCAGCTACTGGGGAGGAGAATCATTTGAACCCGGGAGGTGGAGGTTGCAGTGAGCTGAGATTGTGCCACTGCACTCCAACCTGGGCGACCGGGTAAGACTCCATCTCAATTAAAAAAAAAAAAAAAGAAAACCAAAGTAAATAATTTTTTTACATAGTCACATTGCTAGGGAAGGACTGTCTAATTCTAGAACCTGTGACTTGACCAGCTGTGCTATGTCATCTCTCAAGGAAAGAGCTCTGAATGGTAGGTCGTGCCCTTCACTAGTTCCCATTTTGAAAGAAGTGGGTTTAAGGGGGCAGTGTCTGTAGAATGAAGTGACCGAACTTGGCATTTACACCTGTATAGAAGACAAAGATAACCCACCATCATGCTTCATGCAGCTAAGAGATTTTTGCCTTCTCATTTGATTCTTTTTATAACCACGAAAACGTTTAGATTGTCAGAGCAGAACATGACCTCAGAAATTATACAGTCTCTATTCCTATTATAGGTGAAAACAGTGATACCCAGAGAAAGGAAGTGACTAGCCTGGGGGCCTTCAGGTAGACTAGCAGAATGCAACACAAAAACCTTAAAGCCAAAATTCTGCCCCTTACAGGCACCTCCTGTGTTCCTTGATTTAATATTTGAATGTGTTCCCTATAACTCTCCCCATATTTGAATGTGTTCCCTATAACCCTTGTGTATCCTCTAGCCTTCTCATACTTCTTCTCTTTTTCCATGGGTCTAGTTCCAAACACTACCTACTCTCTCCCCTAACTCTCCCACTATAATAGCTATGTGATCTTCAGCTTTAATAACCAGCCTCATCCTCTTTGACCCTCTGCACCACCCATGTGATAGCCCTTCCTTGTTAGCCAGCTTTACCTTTCAGGACACTTCTCTATCCTACTTTTTTTTCTCTCTTTCTTTCTGCCTACTAATTCTCAATGATCTTCATTTTGTTCTATTTTCCTCTCCATTCTGCTAGACCTAAATAAGTCTCTCCATACTTCTGAGGTCTGCCTTTTTCTCTTTCTGCATTTCTTTCATCCCACCTTCTCCTTGTCCCTTCTTTATGAAGTCTTTTCTGACAACTCTCAAAAGAATTGAACCCTTGTTTCCTGTCCCAGTACAGATTTCTGTCTTATAGTCCACAACACATTATACCACTGATTTGGTTAGAAATGTGTTCCCTGCCTCCTAGATATAGGCCCTACAAAGGAAAAGGATCTATTTGTAGGACTTGGTATCCTGACATTCAACAGACCTTAAGGGATTTTTTTTTTTTTTTTTTTGAGACAGAGTCTGACTTTGCGACCCAGGCTAGAGTGCAGTAATGCAGTCTCAGCTCACTGCAACCTTTGCCTCCCAGGTTCAAGCAATTCTCCTGCCTTAGCCTCCCAAGTACCTGGGATTACAGGCACAGGCCACCATGTCTAGCTAATTTTTGTATATTTATTAAAGACAGTATTTCACCATGTTGGCCAGGCTGCTCTTGAACTCCTGACTTCAAGTGGTCCTCCTGCCTTTGCCTCCCAAAGCACTGGGATTACAGGCATGAGCCACTGTGCCCAGCATAAGGGATGCTTATTGAACATATTAATGAATTACTCTTCAAAAATCTTAAGTTGCTCTGTCCTTTCTGAGATCCAGACCTCAATTCCCTCCTGGATGCCTTGTTGAAACTTGAACTCAGTATGTCTAGAATTATACTCATCCTCTTTCTCAATTATCTCAATATCCTACCTTACTTACTTGTTTTGACTATAGCAGTCATTCTCAACTGCATGCATAAAAATTCCTGGGTTGCTATAAAGAGTAATGATATTTAGGTTCCACCTCAGAGATTCTGATTTAACTAGTTGGATGCCTTAAGGTCATAAAGAATTTTAAAAGTTTCTGGATAGGCCAATGGTGTTATAAATTCCCAAATAGAAAATCTCGAAGTTATCCCTAGCTTTCATTTCAGTTTTTTCTGGATTTCTCTATGTTCTTCTTTACCTCTCTTTCTCCTTGCTTCTTCTTTATAGACTTTGTCCAGTCCAGAAATTGTCAATGTCATAAGCCTTTATACTGTTTAGGGATGAAACTAGATTGAAGTTCAGGCTTTCCTGAACACAACCAAGTTCCTGTGCATCTAAAGACATATTATTTCTCCTTAAAATTGACATTCTTTTGCCCAACGTCTTACCCATTGTTTCTGAAAACCACATGTACATAGATATGTCTTCACTTTATTTCCAGTTCTTATTTTATAGGTAGGTAGACAGACAGACAGATAGACAGACAGACAGACAGACACATAGATGAGATGAGTTCTTACTATGTAGCCCAGTCTGGTCTTGAACTCCTGAGCTCAAGGGATCCTCCTACCTCATAGCCTCCCAAAGTGTAGGGATTATAGGCCTGAGCCACTGCACCTAGCATATTTCCAGTTATTTCTTAATATACTATATCTTTGCAACTCCTGATTGTGGAAATTAA